CCCCCCCCCCCCCCCCCCCCCCCCCCCCAATACCTGAATGCCGAACCACTTGTTGAGCACCAGGGCGTCACCGTCCGCGTCATTGTAGAACTTCGACAGCGCTTCCGCCCTGCCGTGCAACGTGTGGAGAGCAGGTGTCACTTCGCGCGGGCGATGAACACCGAAACTAAGGAGGTTGGTTTCCCTAGCTTGCACTACACATGCCGGCCGATGTCGCATCAGTTCCTTGTTCAGTGGAAGCTACGTAGTGCCTAGGGTAACTGGCTAAGACGACTTCTGCCGGTAAAGGCCTTTCCATTAACAAGAAGACACAGTAGAAAAATCCAACTCTTGTTCGAGAGAGGCATGCATACAAGCAAGAGCCACGAAAACACGCCAAAAATGCGGTCGGTCTCATCATCTTGAATACTGGAACATACGACAGCCAGCAGCTACTAGCACAGCCACAAAAGCAAACACGTGCTGGCAGTCAAACCCAGTCAGTAGAGCTTATTTCCAGGGAAATGGGCAATGGCACTGGGCCACCGCGTGGCCTTGGCATGTGCTTGTGCGATCAACTGCTGTTGGCATTTGAAAAGGGACGCGGTCTCCTCGCCGGTCCCTCCGGAAGCCAAACGTGCTCGCAAGGCTGAACAAGACCTTCAACGGTAGTCAAGGGTGCCACAACCTTACGTACGTCCCAGAGCTACATCAGACGCCCGATGACCACCTCAATCCGACCAACTAAGCGGGGGGGTCTGCAAGGCTTCGCGGCCTCTCGGTTTTGGTCGCAGCAGACAGACAGAGACGAAACCTACACACACAGAGTTTTCCCTCGATACCATCGTTATCATGCTTTCACCACAACTACTATTTATTTACTGAAATCCCAACCTGTTGGTCGCGGAGGAAATTGGTCGATCAGTAGTCCATGACGTTTGAAAACATCACGAGTTCGTAATGTCAGAAAAAGAGCCAGCTCGAAGGTTAACCGTATCCGAATTATGTTCGTGTGATAAGCCTTCAGGCGAAGCAAGGCTGTTTCGTCGCCAAACACTCCTCCTGCAACATGTTTCGTATGCCAGGGAGGGTGGCGATAGCAACGATTAGATTGGTGCCTTGGCCAAGACCACCACACCTTGAGAACGTAGCCAAGGCAC